CTGCATTGACCCTGGCCTTGATAAAACACAGTGGACCAACACCAGCAGCTGACATGGCACCCCAGACCATCACTGACTGACACCTCTTCTCGTTATGCAGCGTTTTCTGCCACACTTTTTCCTTCCCACAGACTTCCCACTTAGGTGCCTTGATACAGCACTCTGGAAACARCCTGTTCGTTCAGAAATGTCTTTCTGTGTCTTAAGGTGGAAACATACTCGCTCCGACGCCGACGGGTCGATGCGCAGTCACGTGGTTGTTCGGCAGTCGTTTTCGCACAGACCTTTCCCTACGACACCCCAGCGCCGAATTCGGGAAACCCCCCCTCCCTGAAACATACGTCACTGCATGGAGTTCCCCCGCAACAGCCGATAATGCAGAAAAAAAAAAGTCCGAATTCCTCCCCTCAACAGCAATGCAGAAAAAAGTCACTCACCTGACAGATTTTTATCCACATCTGTCCTGGTTAAAAAGCTCCACAGTTTCAGATTCCTCCGTGCCTGTTTATCTGTTTATCTGTTATGTCTGTTTATCTCCATTCATGAGTTTTTCACGGTTTGACTATCTTTATAAAACTCTGCTTACTGGTCGGCTCAGGGAGCGAGTCGGGTTTTTTTCTTTTTTTTTTTTAACCAAGTGGTTGAAGTAAATGCAGAGCATAGCGCTGTCAGCACAAACACACATGAGTTTTTCTCAGTTTGTCTGTCTTTAAAACTGCTCAAAACAGTCTGCTCTAGTCAGAAGCGAGTTTTTGTTTTATTCTTCTGCTGTGTCCGTCYGAGYGCTTTCAGTTCAGACCAATCACACATTACCATCGACACGGGAGGGGGGTCAAAAAAGTTCTGCTGGGGGCTTGTGCCAAAAGGGGCTGTCGACACGACGCTGCGAAGCCTGGTGACGTAATTTTCGTCATTATACTGCGACAACCCGTGCTGACGTTGGCAGTTCGCAGGGAGTATGTTTCCAGCTTTACCCTCTTGCTCTAGGGTGTCAGTGATGGCCATCTAGACAGCAGTCAGGTCAGCAGTCTTACCCATGATTGTGGTTTTGAGTAATGAACCAGACTGGGAGTTTTTAAAAGCCTCAGGAA